ATACAATTTGGTGGCTCTCACGCGGGGTCGATTTCGACCACCAAAATTTCCTCTGGAGTCCTCCGTGCCATTGGATGATCCCTCTGTTTTTTATTCTCCATTTTTTATGATATTGACCATCAAATTTGGATAAGATATGAATTTTTGGGGTCACTTGCAATTCAAATGGTGGCAGTAATAGCTAACAGAGGAAGTAAATCAGATCATCTTACAGAGGTGGTCGGCTTTTTTGGGGGTGTCGGCTTTTTCCGGGTTCACTGTATTAACTGCTTTGTGTGTAGATTTGTCATCCCTGTGGGGTAGACCTCACCGGAATTTTTCGGAAGTAAATTTCCCAGTGAGATCCGATGAAGGTTCCACAGGGAAAGTTCACAGGAAAATCCTGTAGCGAAATCTGTCCAGTGTCTCAAATCATCCAGTCAGAGAACTCCAGATTCATTATATGTATTTGTCCAATCATGGACTGATTTTGCGTCTGAAACAATCAGAGAATACGATAAAACACTGAAACTTATTTGACCAATCATAGACTAAGAAACAATTTTGCATATTGTTTTGTGTGTGAATTTGTATGTGAACTCATCTCATCCCATTGCCAATTCATGATCGAACAACGCTTGCGAGACTTTTCCCGGTTCACTCCAGCGGCCCACGTTTTGTTGTAGCCGGCAAGCAGTCATACAACCAATGTTTTGACGGTATTGCAAACGACGGAAAATCTACCACGCTGCGTTCGTCGACAAGTCACGACTTAGCATTGGTACCTGAATTCGAAACCCAAAAGCCCCAGGAGTGGGTGGATATGCCCCTGATTTTACTCACGTGCGGCCATCCGTGGCGGTGTCGGCGCCGCGACCAGTTGCAGCTCAAAATTGGGGAGATTCAGCCCATCTTGGCGCCCCGACCAGCCCCTCCGCCGTGCTGTTACGTCCAACGGTGCCCATTGGAGCCCACCCTGCAGCCCAACTCTCTTGCGCCAGCTTTTGGCGAGTGTTGAGCATTTCATCGAGGCATCCCCATCATGGCAACTTCATCATGGCTGTCATTGTGCGCGAAACTTCCTCCTTGAACTAAACCCACGTGCAAGGGGTGGTAGGTGGAGACTCTCTGCTAACTCTCCAAATAGTATACAAGAATCAAATAATAGAATAATTTTGAACTCAATTTGTATTTTTCTTGTAGAGTGACCGTGCGACGTTTTTCATGTTTCATAAATAAATTGCATTTTCGTTCAAACAAGTTAACATGTTCCATACTACGCCGTGTTATTTTATTTCAAAAGATACAGAAACCAAGACCAAGGAATATTAATATATTGACCGTCGTCTACTTTACACTCAGAGTGTGTCGCATGCGTCTCTATGCACCTTGCACTGTGAAAAAACGCCGCTTGGGTTTATTTTAGGACTCATCCGAGATCACTTGATATTTGTATGGATGGCCCTGGCGTTTCGTAAAAACCGTGAATAAAACGCCTTTTATCCGGATTTATCTATTCGAAGGAGTTCTAGTACAGGCAACCAAGCATTTTCCAATTCGACAGTCGCTGACGATGGCGCTCACCCGTGCCAGTGTCATTGCTTCCCGCCAGGTCAAGACAACCAAGTGCCCCTTCATGGCGGCCAACCACGCGTCCAAGCAAGCGTTGATCCCCAACATCTCGCAACTCACGCGCATGTGCCCTCACATGTCGACCATGATGCAGTCTCAAGCCCGCAGCGCACACACCGCGGCTGTCGCGACCAAGGTCCTTGAACATGAACCCAAGATGACGCCGTCGTTGACGACGTACGCTTCCGCTCGTCGCATTAAGAACGGCAAGTACGAACGCCTTGGTGGCCTGTCCCACGATGAATACGAGCGTGGGTTTCAAAAGACGATCCATCGCATCAAGACGGAAGGCCGCTACCGTTCGTTTGCAAACTTGGAGCGGAAGCGCGGAGAGTTCCCCAAGACTTTGTTCCATCACCCTGAAGGACATACGAAGGAAGTTATCGGATGGTGCGGCAACGACTACCTGTGCATGGGTCAGCACCCTAAGGTTGTGGGTGCGATGCACGAGTTTCTGATGAAGTCGGGAGCGGGTGCCGGTGGTACTCGCAACATCCATGGCACGAACCATAACCACGTCATGTTGGAGAAGGAATTGGCGGATTTGCATCAAAAGGACGGCGCGCTATTGTTCACGTCCTGCTATGTGTGCAACGACACGACTATTGCGACTTTGGGCAAGCTGTTCCCGGGCCTCATCATGTTTAGCGACGCTCTCAACCATGCGTCAATGATCGAAGGCGTCATCCACAGTCGCTGCGAAAAGCATGTGTACAAGCACAATGACTTGGAAGACCTAGAGGCCAAGCTCAAGGCCGCGGACCCAAACGCCCCCAAGCTCATCTTGTTCGAAAGTGTCAATTCCATGGAAGGCACGGTTGCCCCGATGCATGCAATCTGCGACTTAGCTGACAAGTATGGCGCGATGACGTTCTGCGACGAAGTCCATGCTGTAGGGTTGTACGGCAACCGTGGCGCGGGGATCGGAGAACGTGACCACGTGATGGACCGCCTGACCATGATCACTGGGACCCTGGCCAAGGGGTACGGGATCATGGGGGGTTACATTGCTGGTTCGGCTGCCCTTGTGGACGCTTTCCGTAGTACTTGTCCTGGCTTCATCTTCACGACGTCGCTCCCGCCCATGTTGGCGGCTGGTGCTCGTGCGGCGGTGAGCCACTTGAAATCTTCGCAAGAAGAACGGATGATGATGCACGCGAATTCCGCCGAGTTGAAGCGTCGTTTGGTTGCGTTGGGATTTCCGATCTTGCCGAGCTCGTCGCACATTGTGCCGGTCATGGTGGGTGATGCCATCAAGGTGAAGCGCGCGTCAGAACTGTTGATGGAGAAACACAACATTTACATCCAACCGATCAACTTCCCGACTGTTCCTCGTGGCGAAGAGCGTCTCCGCATCACGCCAAGCCCAGCGCACACGGAAGAAATGATGGATGACTTGGTCGCCGCGCTTCTCAGCGTGTGGGAAGAACTCGAGTTGGAACGCTGCGGGTGCGACCCCTTGCCGGAAGTCCAGTTCTTGAACTCGGATTTCCCCCGCATGGAAGCGGCGTAAGGGTGCCTGTGGCGCGACATGGGCAGCTCCAGGCCTAAGATTCAATGCAACAAGTTGATTTCGGCCGAGAAGGCGAGTTTGCAATTGGGGCAAGGCAATGCTAGGAGTGTGGATTCCACCAATTAAAATCGTGCATTCGAATTGTTCCACCAATCAGATCTCGACAAATTGCCAGGATGTGCCATCGTGCTGAAGGAAAAGAAATTGATCCCGTGAAATGTGGAAACAGCAAGTGCGTCACCGCGACCTCCATAGAGTCCTTGATGCAACGAAAACGATCACAAGGAGGTCGAGGTACTGTCAAAGCTGTATGAATCGCTGGAATCCTCAAGAAACCATGTCGTCAGAGCGTTGGATGGACGAAACGATATATAGTGCGATCTGCACATCCTGAATGTGTCTTGGCACATTCAGGCCATTTGATCCATGTAGGACTGACTACTCCTTTGGAGTCAAGAAGAGGGACTATTCTGACAATGGCAACTCTGCTCACGCACAACGTGCGAATTGCATCGCCCACGGCAGCGAAGGTCAGGTGAAGAGGCTTGCGATGGCGGCGCTCGGAACTGCATAGGTGTTGCCTTTATGGATGGTGTTCACGGATGCATTCCGCCGAATATGTTAGACTAATATGAGCTAACTTTTTTAAACTGGGGATACGGGGCAGGTCGATTTCAAGGTCGAATTATATTTGATTTAAAGGCACATGATGATGGGCAGGGCAGCGGTGACCGTATCGACAGGCGGCGGCGACTTGGGAATGATTGTGTCGATGTACTCTTGTGCAATGTCGAGATGCTGCTCCAAGGCATGACGCAGGTGCTGGTTTTCCGCCATCACACGGGCTAGTTCGTGAGCTTGTTGCTTCGCAATGTCTGCCCAAATGGGTGCCGTCTGGTGTGCCGACTGATGCATTTGGTTCATCCGAAGCCACTCGAGGTGTCTCGTCATCGATCCAATTTCTTTCCGTAGAGCATCGATCTCATCTTTCATGCGGTTGCGTTTCTTGCTGGCATGGAGCTTCGTCAGCGGCTCGTTGTCGTCGTCTTTGTCTCCCGATTCGCCGTCCGAGGACGGGTCGGACTCTGCGGGAGCAATTGGTGCTGCACTCGTCGTCCTTGTGGTATGAAGAGCATGGGTCGTCATAGGTATCATGGGAGGCAACTGATCGTTGTCTCGTCGTCGGTCTTGGACCCACGCAGACTCGTTCCATCGCGGTCGTTTCGATGCTAGATTGTCGAGATGGACGAGAGACGGTGGCGGCGCAGCATGATCCCACCCCATCGTCGGCGGCGTTGGTGATCGCGTCATAGCGTCGTCAACTCCACGTGCAATGGGGATGTAGTCTGGGCGCGGGTACAGGATCGGGACCCGCGCAGGGTCTGCACTCGTGCGCGTCGGCACCGCCCGCTTCATCTTGCAGGAATTGGAACTTGTACATGGGACCACCCCCTACCAACAGAAGCGCGTCAGCCAATCAAATTGCATGGCGTGTATATGGAGTTTTGTATGAGAAGGCTTCGTCCCACCGAGTGTGTCACGCAGATATTCCTTATTTCTATTTTTGTACCAAAAATCGCGCATGTAGTGGAGGAAAAATCCCCGTTTCGTACGGATTTAGGATATAATCCCATCGCAGCACGCCCATCATTATCAAATTCCAACAACTCCACGGACGACAACTCGATGACGTCGACACGAACTTCAACCTCCCGGATGCGCCTCACCCAGCTAGACGATGCCTCGGGCTCGATGCTGCGGCGGTAAGCTTGTTGGTGGCGCTGATTCGAAGAACAAGTGCAGTGAAAGGAATGCGGCGCGTGACGGGGCGACGACGACATTTTTTCATCTGAGAACATGGTTCGGTTCACGCATTACCTTCATGCAATTTTTTCATAAATTCATAAGTCGCATACAAACATTGGGACGAAATTCAATCGTTTTTCACATGTTTTGATTGTTTGGTGACTGCTTGCATCAGCAACCGGCCAAGACGTTCAATAGTCAAAAAAAGACGTGGGCGAAGTGTGCACACATTCCAGTCACTTCCATGACCTTGATGTGTATGCATACGCTTTCTGTTACCAGAAGCGCGCTGCCAGTGGCTCTCCCTGGGCTGCTTCGCGCAGTGCACTCAATTAGCAAACTTCGGATGCGCACTTGAACGAACCTTCATTTTTACCGCAGCATGAACAATTGCACTTAACAGAGCTTGTAAGCAATTTTGTATGATGCTTGATACGTACTTAATGATATCGATTGTTTATGGTGGCCACAGCACATGGCCCCCTGAAGTACGTAGCCCACCACCATTGTTGTTGGCGAGATAAGTCACCTGCCTTCATCATGTTGGGCCGATCCGTTGCTCGCGCCGCCGCAGTCTCCCGCGTCTTGCCCACGTCCGTGGCTGCTGCCCCGCTGTCGACTCAATCGGATGCGGTCGCGAAGACCAGCTTCAAAGACCTCTTCTCCACCGAAGCGAACGCCCGAAACTCTGTCGGTACGTAAGGTGTCCCCGACCATTCTGACCTCTCGTTCCGTCGACTCATTGTATCGAACAGAATACGTCGTGGCCAAGGTCGACGACTTGGTGAACTGGGGTCGCCGTAGCTCGCTGTGGCCCATGACATTTGGTCTTGCGTGCTGCGCCGTCGAAATGATGCACACCGCCGGGTCCCGCTACGATATGGAACGCTTTGGGGTAATTCGTCTTGAAGATGCATTTTCACAACACCTAATTCATTATGCGGCGTCTAGATGGTATTTCGTGCGTCTCCCCGTCAATCGGATGTCATGATCGTCGCCGGGACTTTGACCAACAAGATGGCTCCTGCCCTTCGCCGTGTGTACGATCAAATGCCGGAACCTCGTTACGTTTTGTCGATGGGCTCGTGCGCCAACGGTGGTGGGTACGTCTGACGCCACCGTTCTTCGCGATCTCATCGACCACGGCGTAGGTACTATCACTATTCGTACGCCGTGGTGCGTGGCGTGGACCGCATCGTCCCCGTCGACATTTACGTTCCTGGGTGCCCCCCGACCGCGGAAGCGTTTTTGTATGCGATGTTGCAGCTTCAGAAGAAGATCAAAGGCAACAAGGGATTGCTGCTCAAGTTGCGCAAGTAATGTTGGATCAATCGCACCATCGCCGATACATGCGTTGCCAGGCAGTGTTGTTTGTGCTGCGTTTGGAGCTCTTGCATGTTTGTCGCGGGTCCGAAAGCCCGTCGCGTCTGGGGAGTCGTTGGCCCCGCGTCTCTGGTATGAGAAGGTGCGACAGGTTCTGGCTGCACCAGCCACCTTCCCCTCCACACAGTGTCCTGTTGATCATGGAGCTATCGAGTGCGCGGCTCAGTACACCACATGCTCGTGATCGTACAAACGGCTTGACGGCGTTGCCAGCGGGGGCAAGCAGAGTGTTGCAGCGCTGGCTCTGAGTGATCCTCGCGCCACACAGCCTTGCGCAGGAAAGAAGGGTCGACGACATGCACAGACACATCCATCATCTTTGTGCATTCAGTCGGCCCGACATGGTCTCAACTATTCGTCGAACTTAGCTGCGTTGCAGCTCTTGCCCACCTCGAGCGCGGGTTCACTTGGAGCAGAAGCCATGAGGAAGGGTGGAGTCTGGCGCGATGCCGAGGAAATCGACGAGCCATGACGAATACTTAACGCGCAGCTGCTGTGCATTCTACCCATTGACGATCGAGCTCTATGATGAGCGCGACCAAGAGCTTGTGGACTCGGACTGGCAGTGCCATCTCGTTGTCGAGCAACTTTTGGGGCAGCGCGCAGACAGCATCGAGCGTATGCAAGTCATGCGAACTCAGCTCCTATTGCACACTCGAGTGAAATCCTGCTTGACATAGTCGATGACCACGTTACTTCGATCCAAGGCAGGGCGTGCGCCACTGCAAGCCGCCACATCTGCGGTGGATGCAGCAGTCGGTTGGAGTGGCCAAGAGGCGCCAGCGCATGGAAGAATGCGTGGACGAGGAGGAGGTCGCTGCGTTCGCCAAAGTCAAAGCGATGCGGACCTGAACAACAGAAGCCTGTCAATCGCATGGCCACATGGACACTTGCCCGCCTACCGTCGATGTTTGCATCGCCCGAAAGGCCAGGATGCACGCAGATGGAGGCCGTGGGACGGCGGATGTAGGTGAACCCGCACGGGCAGCACGTTGGGTACACGGCATATTCCAACATGGCAAAGCAATTCGAGCACAGACGGGGGCTTGGCCCAGTGTCGCTATGGAAACGGCTACACAAGTATAGGTGCAGGAGACGATATTTCAAGGAAATACAGACGCACCTGTAGCACTCCACGGCCGCCGTCGTGGTCGTACTGGGCGACGCATGCAATTGACGCCGTATGCCCTGGTCATGCTCCAACCGTCGCGTCAGCTCGCGCTCTACCCGTGTGGCCACCTCTACAGGAAGATGCAGCAACGTTGGCACGAATAGGTGCACCCGTACTGTGATGTATGCTGGCACGGTGGGTTTGAAAGAGGAGCACGAGGTAGGTCCGCGCAACACACACCAGCTCATGCTTTGCCTCAATCTCCAACAGTTGTATTGCGAGAGCGTCCATGGCGGCGTAATGCGGGCTCACCGCGTCCACAAATGACAACACGCACACCCGCCATGGCCATCGGTCGACAGTCTTGGTGTCCAACCTGTGTGCGACGGTGCAAGGGCATCCACCAGCCAGTCAGTTCGTCGATTCAACACACCATCAACGCAACCTACCGCAGGAGCTCTAGCGCGGCCGGCCACCATGAATCGGGAGGGTCGGGAAGGGCGAGCGGGATCAAGTAATCGTTGGCCATGTGCGTCCACAGTGTCAACGGGACGCACGACCACGCTTTCACATCGCTCTCGACAGAGTGCGCTAGCATCGCCAAGTCGCCGTGGCACTGGTCGTGGTAATGGGCCACGATTGGATGCAGACTCGCCAGCACGGCCTTGGTGTACTGCGGCCTCGTGAACTGCAAAAAGCTACGTGTGAGCATTAGGTGCCGCGGCCATGTGTGAGAGGAGGTACTGCTTGACACTTCGCTGTATCCGACGCACGCACTTGTCAACGTAGGAAATCAAGCCCCGTTCTTCTGCCGCTAGCTGCCTCTGCTTCAGCGCCACAAGTTGCTTGGAATACTCTCGCCACGTTGTAAAGACCTTTGCGACGAGCCGAGTCGCTACCAGGGCACGGTATCGCATCTGCGCTTGCCGAAAGTGCCGACGACGACGGAATGAGTCATGTGATTCATTGGCTAACGACGAACCTCAACAGTCGAGACGAGATATCGCCGCTTGGCAGCTTTGGCTTTGGGCACGATGGCCACGACGATGGCCAACAGAGCTTGGAGCTGCACGTGGGCGCGGCGCTTCCGCAGTGACGTGCGAAGCGCGATAGACGTGAGCATCTTCCACCAGCTCGCGATGGCAGTCGCGGCATGATTGGCTCGCACCGCCGCCCGTTGATGCATGGCACGGTTCATTCGAACGAGCGACGCTGCTTTCGACCGTCTAAACCTACCGAAACACACGCAAACGTGGTGAACGGGCGTGCACGATTCAGGGACGCACCGAATTTCGGTCGCCCGCGTCGCGTTCCGGAGCCGAAGGAATGGTGTCCTGCAAAGCACGACGCGAAATCTACGCGGCGCATGGAGCAACCAACGCGATGTTTCAAATAGACCTGGCACTGATCAAGGTAGCGGCGTGGTGGAGGAGCGGGTGGTTCACGGCTGCTTGCCGCAGCTCGTTCTTGGCTGCGTCAACGTGCGCCATGACCGTGGCCATCGTTCGGTCCAAAAACTGGACAACCTCCCGTGAGCTAGCCTAGCCGGCATGAGGCGTACAACTTTACTCGCTCGACGACGTCATGGGCATATGCGGATGGGTAGCCGTCGATCAAGTTCGTTTGAATGGCTAAGCGCAGCAGGATCGTCGGAAACGGTGAGGGTCACGTCCACCGCACACAGCGATTTGAACAGGCTTACGTTGGTCTGGTGGAGTTGTTCGCAACAAGGCGTCGAGCGTACGATGCCTCTCCAGGGCAGCCATTTTTGTGGCGGCACTTTCTTCTAGTTGGTGCACCAACAGGTTGTACTCGACGCGCTGGCGATGCAGCCGCGCCAGGCGAACTTGAGGTGTCACGATCTCGTCGAACACCGACCATTGTGCCTTGCCATACACGTTTCTACCCCATGCACGTGAGGTTGCTGCAGAGCGTGCACCTGGTGCGCACCGCTTCACAACCACTTGACGCCGTCGTTGCTCGAGGTGCCTCCGGCATTGCCGCCCTCTCTCCACCTTTTGAATGATCGTGGCGGCGTGCTCATACGTTGGAATGCCTAGGTGCACCGTAGACGTTCCAGTGGGTGCAAGACAAATCGTGGCACGATACCTGCTTTCACGGTGTACTTTCGGCGAGCTCGCAACCGGCTCTGCAAGGTCTGGCGGCGAGTGTAGCTGCACAGGTCAAACAGGACGTTTGGCCAGATCTGAAGTTGCGGTGGCAATACCTTCGCCATCGGGTCTGAATGCGGATGGCCATCGACGTTCGAAAGCGCCTACAACACTGGCATCAGCCACGCATCGTAGTCGCCATCCGTGGGTCGTCGACTTCAACAGGTACCCTGGGCGTATGTAGCATGTCCGACTGCTCGTTCCTTACCAATGGGTGTACGCCCGAGGAGACTGGACGGGCAAGACGTACGTGTGCCTGGCGCGGAGGTACGCGGTGAGGGCGTCCCGCAGGCGGTGAAAGAACTCAGAGATGACAATCACGCAGCGCATGGTGGACACCATGCGTCGACACGACTGAATCTCGCGGGCATGGAAGACGACCGCCGTCGGCTCTGCCACTTGAACCGCCATCTACCTCGATGGCAACGAGTGGCGTGGCTATTTTTAGCCCCACCGTGTGGTACGTACGCGCTGTATGGTGCGCCCTAGGTGCGGCCCTTCACAGGTAGGTGCAAGCCAGGGCACAACCGTGGATATCCCGACAAGGGCCCCCAGTGACTAGGGTCGCGTCATCCGTGGTCACGGCCCGCTCTCGTATGATTCCGCTGCATTCTGAGTTGGCCCAGTCGCTACGATCGATGGGGCATCGTGCATCAGCAGCAGGTCGGAACCGGAAATTCAAAATTTATATGCGGATTTCATGCATGTCTTTGTATCGAATTTTGTTTGACTGGTCCTGCGTATGGTCGAATAGGTGCACGAGGGTTTCTACACTTAGGTGCAACCTGGTGGAGTGGGTACATCATCCAGGTGGACCTGCCGCATTCGGATACCACCGACCTCTGTGGTCAATTCGGCAAATTGCACCGTGATGCTAGGAGTGATAGGAGGGGACCTGCCGCCGAAGTACGCGGCCGAGCTCACCAAGCTCGCCAAGATCAACGCCAAGGTGCTGCTGGCATGCTCGAGCCCTGGCAGCAACGACGACTCGCCTGTCAAGTGGACTGCACAAGGCAAGCCGATCGATGGAGGAGTTCAACTATACGTGGGCCAAGACCCGACCAGCCACAACAGCAAGTCGCCACTCAACCTCATGTGCGGCGTCGTATATGTTCAAGCCCCTCTCCATGAAGTAATCCATGCGCTCGGCAACCTAACCACGAACCCGTACTTCCAGCGATTTGTCGAAGACGCGGTCGTGATCGGGTCGCGCGCGTTGTACGACATGGACAAGAACGACCGCCGTGCGACGCGAATACAATGGATGGCGATCCGAAGTGCTTCGTCCCTGATGCAGCATCGCGACTTTGTCGTTGTCCAGGTGCGTCGTCGGTGCAGCGATCGCATCCGGACCGCGTTCCCGAAAAGCCTGCGTCATCACCGCGACCGCGTGCTGTAGCATCAAGACGACGTGGTTGTGCCGTCGCGGCGGAACACGTCGTCCGTGCGAGGGTGGGTGTCATGCATCCATTCTGTCAAGTTGCCGATGGTGCCGCCGTTTGCGCACACGTACGTTCGTGGAGGCATCTACGCGTCGGGGTGGGTCTCTCTCGCACGGCGGTGTCCACATCTTGACGAGTACGTGCGTAGGTATGTGCTCAAGGAAACCCACCAGCGCAACGTCACCGAGGCTGCGATGGTGCTGAAAGTCGACTTTAAAGGATTTGTGCCGCGACTCCTTTGCAACGGCACACTCAAGGCATGGATCGGGTGCGTCGGCCGCATGGCCCAGTACTTTCGGTCCCATCGAAGTCGTCAAGACCTACCTCGCGTGCACGTATTCGACGACAGCAAAGCGACCGAGACGGCGCGATGTGCCGTGTGCTACGATTCGTTTGGCATGCACTCGGACAAACGATCGTGTCGGAAATGCCACCAGGTACCCGTCGTGCCGCCTCTCCTCCATGGCCACGTGGTCTGTTGTTGTTCCAACGCGATCGTTTAGGTCGTTTGCAGTGCTTGCACAACATGGGCACTCGTCGAGCTAGACGTTGTCGGCCGCATCAACGTCGTCGTGTGCATTCATTGCGCTCGCGCGGCCACCGCGACACCTGTCGCGGCGATTCCACGCCACCGCACATCCCCGTCCGTGCCGCCTTTGTACTTCATGCACTCGCCCCCACCACCACGTACTCACGCGCCGCAGTGGGGAAACAACTTGGACGATGCGTCGTCGCCTCGATTCACGCATGCCATCCCGATGCGCCTCTCGGCCGCATCGTGGATGGACACATGGACAGACCGGTGTGAGCCGCCGTCGTCAAATCAAGACGACGGCCGGCCTCGACACAGATCCGTGCCATCGGCCTTTGTCTGCAGCGACAGCGCCACGAACGGTGAACCGTGGAAGCAGGAACAGCTCGATCGATCGCGCCACTCGCTGTCACCAACCGGTCGACCACAGCAGACGCCACTGGCACCTCTCCGCGAGAACATGTACTTGGAAGGCCCGCCGATTCGACTCGCGTCGTCGGGACCAGCGTTCAGCGCCCCATCATGTTCGGGCCGACCGTTGTCAACTTGGCTCGAGCCCACCACCACCACGGCCGTGCAGTGGTCGTCGATCCACTCGGAAGACTCGCCCGACTCGATCGAGCGGATGGTGGTCGACGAATGCGCCGAGTTTGACGGCGGCTCTCCGCGCTGCAGCGATGCCGCGCACAGTGTCGTCGAGGCGCTGACGACGACCGGCAACGTGCTGGACCTGACTCGCGGCGACGTCGCATCGTTCCGGCTGTAGCAAGCCCCCGGGCGTGACGAGAACGATGAGTATATAACTTATCTACACACACCTCGACGACGCACAAACGGGTATTGTTTGAAAGGTCTAGTGGGTCCTCTACTGGACGGCGGCAGCGAGGGCGCCGCGAATCGCAGCCCGTTCCGAATCGGTGGCGCCGCGGAGGCGGTCCACAAGGAGCCGGGTCAGAGCTACGACGTCGCTGTCTTTCGAGTCGTCCGGAGTGGCAGCTGATAGAGGCTGGTCTTGCTGCTGTAGCCGCAGCAGCAGGTCGTTCACGTCCGAGGGTGGTGGGGTCGCAGCTCCTTCGTTTTCGAGCTGCACGACGGTGAGGTCTCGACTCGGTGCACGAAATCAAACGTACCAACGGCGCCGGACTCACACCACCACTACCTTGGTGGACCATCGGCTGCAGGAACATGTCGATATCGTGGTCGAGGAACCGCGACACCGTCAGCGCGGTGGGGCTCGCGGCAGCGGCCATCAACGGCGGCGCTGGCGACTGCGACGGCATGTCCACAAGGATGCTATCACGTTCCTGGGCAACATAGTCGTCGGGGCTCGCGTCCGGCGTCGGCGCATAGTACCTGCCATTCAATCATGCCGTTAGTGTCCGCCGAGAAGCGCGAGGATGCACGAACCGAGTCTCTTTGATGCGGTAGCGCGAGCCTTTGTAAATGCCAGGCGCTTGTTGCTGGGCCACCAACTGAGCGTCCTGGGTCGCTGCGGGCGGCGGCGGCGGCGGTAGGATCGGCTCTTGCAGGTTGCCAGAAGCACTAGGTTCCAGCGGCGCAACGCGGCTGTACTCAAAGTTGCTGCTGCCACCGCCGTACGGTTCGCTTTCTGGCTCGGGTTGACGGTGGTTTGTGTTGGGCGAGATGATTTCAAGGCGGAGGCCGGACGCGCCGCCGGTCGTGCGCGAGTTGTTGAGGGCGGCGAGGACGTCCGGCGCGTTGCGGAGGTCACCCAAGTTGACGGCGGTAGTGGTCGGGGCGTCCGGGGGGATGTACACCTCCTGTGTCGTAGGAGGCCGCGATGCCAGCGACGAATCTGTAGCCGACGACGGATGGCGATACGGTTGATAAATCGGCTGGGCGCGCGACACGGACGTCCCCACTTCGTCGTACAAGTTGAGGAACGATTCCCGCTCGTCGCGGAGCATCGACATGCGTGGGTCGTCGGGTTTGTTGGTACCGTTGTAGCGCGGGACGGGGTAATTTGTTGAGGCCATGGACGCCGCATACTCACGCGCTGGCGGCGGCGGGTGGCGGTACCCGCCGCCTCGGGGGATCGGGTTGTGCGCCATGTGCGGAGGCGGCGGGTGGTATTGGTGGCTCGGATGAGGATAGCCCCCATTGTTTATGGGGTAGTTGCTGGGTCGATGCGAGGAGGGGTGTGCATGCTGCATCCCTTGGATTTGCTGCTGTTGGTGGTGGTGGTGTTGGCGCGGGTGGCCCGGTTGATAGAGCTGCACCTGGGGCATTCCCGGTGCAAACCCTGCTTGTTGCTTCGAGTACATGTTAGATGGCGGCAGGGCGTTGTGGCGGGTAGGCATCATGTCCGATGAGGGCACGTCGTCGGGGTAGTGGGGCCCGCGCGGCGGCGCGGGCTGGTGCAAGTGGACCTTATAACCTTGCCGGGGGTCTTGAAGCAGCTGCTGCTGGCTAGGCTGGTTCGGTGGCTTGTACCGGTGCTGTTGCATGGTCCCGCTCAGCGACGACTTGGGGGATCGGATGTTGTTGCCGCCGGCGATGCCACTGAGGACACTTCGCGCGTTCTCCGATTTCGTGCGCGCCGTGTTGTTCAGGCCAGCATGGGAGCTCGCCGTGCGGGCAACGGACCGGCGGCTGTCCATCGTACACAATGTGCAGATATAGTACTTTTTGATCCCGTCGATGGGCACAACGGGACGCTGTAGGATGCAGCAGCTCGAGCACACGACCTCGCCGCACACGCGGCAGTTGTGCTTCTTCTTGAGAAAACTGAAGCCCGACACGCAGCACGCACACTGCGCAGCAGAGTGCTTGGGCTTCAACTGGATGTCACAGAGGAGCTGGAGGCCAGGCGTTGGCTGCCCCGTTGAAGAATGCGTTCGCAAGTTCGCACCGTGCCCTCCGCTGATCGCGCTGCCGGAATCCTCAAGCTGTTCGCTGGGTAGCACCTGCTGCTGCAGTTGTTGTGGCGGCTGGAACGAAGGCTGGGTGGCGAGTTGCCGCCCGTACGGCGGGTACATGGGTTGGTCGTGGTTGTTGCCGGGATAGCGACCCGTCGAGTCCACGGCATTCTGTTGTTGCTGCGACGACGGCGGGTGGCGGTAGCCAGCGGGTGGCAATTGCCGCAAGTCGTCGGGATGTGGAGCGTGAGGATGCTGACGGTAGTTCGACGAAGACGCTTGCTGCACGTGCTGACCGTGCCCTGGGTTGGAGGGGCTTGGGTGGGACGACGGGCTCGCGTGTTGCATGCGTCCCACGGGTTGCGGCGGCGGAACCGGCCGTGCGAAATGGTCGGACAGAACTTGTAAACACATGATGCGCTGTTTCAGCATTGCTTGTCGAAGCTGCGGTGGCATTGCGCCCTTGAAGTCTATCTGAAGCAGGTAGATGGCCTCGAGTTCGCCGGGGACGTCCGACTCGGTGAAGACAAAGCCAGACCGATACAAACTTCCGCGGACACACTCGGGGGGCGACGGCACGTTGGACAAATCGATCGAGTGCATCGCACACACCCACCCTCGTTTCTTCCGTTTGGCATCCATCACGTCTTCTTGGCTCTACGCAAGCGACGTGAATGGAATGTAGAACGAGTGCGGACGCCACCTCGAGGTAGACAAAGTCTCGCGAGCTGGACGTGGGGTTCGTTGCGGCCGACGGACTCGGGCTGACCATCGTCGCTGTTTTCAAACTGATCATGTGGCGGGGATACTGCCTCGACCGGGATCGAACCGGCGCGATAAGCTGCGTGTGTGCCAAATCCGCGTGGAACTGCGCGTAAAAGTCGCGGACGGCCGGATCCGCGTCCACGTCGGTCGCGTTGAACAAATCCGCGACTTGATCGATCGTGGCTGTGACGTGGGTCTCTCCACACATGTACGAGAGCGCCCTGCTTGTATCCTTCGTGTCCGCGTCTTCCCCTTCAAACAGTTCAACGTCGTTCTCGTACCCGATCGACGTCCATCGCACCGACGACTTGGCCGACTCGGTGCGGCGCGCCGAGTACGCGACGTGCGTGCACACCTCGCGGCCCAGCGACTTCATCCGGAGCACATCGTCGTCCGTGAGCTGCAGCATCGTGATGGCCGACACGTTCCCGCTTGGCGCTGCTAGAATACTGGGCGCACCCGCATGCGGTGCGAGAGCATTACACCGCCGCCTGGCATCGCCGTCAAACATTCGTCCCTGTGATTGGTTCACGCCGAGACCGCCTATTACATACAGGACGCCATGTGCGAGGTAGGTGAGACGACAAAGTCAAACGATGTATGCATCTTGACCATAGAAATCAAAAGTACATACGACGTGGGTGGCACCGTATATGAATCTCCAGATAAATTGGAAAAATATATGCATTCGAATCCGTCCGAGTGGCATTACGCGAGCAAGACAAACCTCGCCCCCTTCCCGAGTTCCAGCGGTGGGGGGGAGCGGGCGCCGAGCGACGTCGGCGGCTTCATCAGGTTGCGTCGATCGTACACCTTCAGTGGAGACGACGCGCGGATGGTTGCATTGCACATGGAGGGAGGAGGCACCGAGCGGGGTGACTGGTGTTGACGTTATGCGTCGTGGACATGGTGACGGTGTTTGACGTGGTAAGCGCTTGCGAAGGTGCTTGTTGAATGGGACGAAGGTTCGAGCTCGTGCTCGCTGGATCGACCAAGGTAGGCGGCCTCCGTCCGCATGGTGTTACAAGGCGCTGGACGCAGATCGAGGACAACGCGAGCGGGAGAGAGATCATCATCGCCAATTGTGCTACTTTTGAGAATTTCCGTCGAAAATTTCACGTTTTCTCATTGCGTCCACCAATCGAAACAGCCAATTTCACTCCGTTGCAACTGCATTTGACCAATAGACGATCGCCTGTGAGAAAGAGAAACCGTCCCGCCACGACGGCTCCCGTGCCTCCATCCGCCGGCCAAGCCTCGCCCAGTACTACTGACGCTCATGGTCCATGGTCCAGTGCACTGCTTCACATCTCCTCAGGCACTGTCGTCAAATGCCATCAACCCGATACACAGGAAGCTTTAGAACTTTGCGCCAAATATCGACGGAGTCGACGATTCAGTTGAGAAGGTGGAGCTAATTTTAGCCACGCCGGTGTGGTGGTTTCGGCACCGACACTCAGACCAGTTTGCGTCCGCCAAGCATCACTGTTACTTCGTTGACCGACCTGAATGCGCCGCGTTCTGTGCCTGCTTGGGCTGCTAGCTGCCAACGTCGTGGGCGGACCTGGTGTCCTTCCAGGTGACTTCCAAGACAAATTCAATCACATGATGCCTCCGCCTCGACAGGTCAGTCGCCCACCTACAACGTCTCCCACGACCGGTCCTGAATTCGAGTCGGGCGAGTTGACGGGTTGCGACAACGGAGACACAGCCGTGGATGTCGACGGCGCCGACGGTAGGTTCTGTGTCGACAAATTATATCACTGCGGGCGCGAGGTACCCCAAGGACCATGCCCGCCGCCGCAGGACGGGCTCCCATTCGGGTCCTACTGTGCCGTGACGTCCACAGGGCTCATCAAATGCGTCGCCAAAGTCAACGGCCAAGTGGTCGTACCGGTGATGTACATCCCAGATCCCGCGCCGAAAGTACCGGTCACTCCTCACCCGACCGTAACCAAGTCCTTTGAAGATGGTCAACTAAGCGAATGCGGCGACGAATTGAGCCCGATCGCAGTGTTGCTTGTCGATGGCGCGAACGAGACGTTCTGCATCGATGCTTCCTTCGCCTGCAGCAACTTTTTGCCCGATGGACCATGTCCGCCCCCTCAACCAGGTCTTCCCAAAGGCTCTGCATGCAGGCAGCTCGACTCGCAAGTGTTTGGGTGCGTGGAGCGGACGGTGTGACCTCCAGTTCGAGTCCTTCCAACTGACCAGGACTTGACACAAAGAAAGCATTCTCAACTTAAGCGGCGTGCTAGTCTCAGTACTAATGCAGCACACGTTATGTGAAATATAGATGGGTGGGGAGGTGGTTTTATTTGGTGACACCAGCCCCCAGCCCGAAGGAGTTTTTCCGCTCCCGCAAGATCGCCATGACCGTGATGGGGTCGGCACTGCCCGCGTACTTCTGCACAGCACGAACATCGACTCGCATGAACGGATTCGTGTCGAGTTCGGACGAAATGGTCGATGGAATTGTGGATGGAACGGTCTGGGACCATTCCAGCTTGGCATGAATTGCCCAGTTTTCTGGCTCGACGGCGACAGCGAAACGCAAGTTGTTGGTCGCGTATTCGTGGCCGCAATACACCTTCGTGGATCGTGGCAGCTTGGCGATTACAGTGTTCAATGCGTAATGCATTTGCTCCGGTGTGCCACCTGAAGTTTCGGACGACCCGGGACAAGGTGAGAGAGTGGTGGAATCAGCGATGAACGAGCCATGGAACGTACTGTTGAATCGTCCACATCCTGCGATGAACAACGTGTCGCCCGTGAATAGCGCGTCTTCGCATAGATACAAGACATGTCCTGGGGTGTGACACGGGGTCGACAACACACGCACCTACACCCGCCAAATAATCATCACCTGGCTGTCCAACAGAGAGAGCCTACGTCACCTGCAACGCCCCCACGCGAACGATTTCTTGATCGTCCACTTCGCGAGTGACTCCTCGGACATTGTCATTTCGACCACCAACAACGACGACTTCAGGCAAGAGTCGCTTCATCTCCGTGTTGCCGCCATCGTGGTCCGCATGAGAATGTGTTGTGAGAACGATCGAGATGGACACGTCGTGGTCCTGGGCAGCTTGGAGGACTTTCGTAGGTTCAACGGGATCGATAGCGGCGCACATTTTCGTCTGCTCATCGATCAGGAGGTACGAGTAGTTGTCATGTAGGACTGGAACGACGACGATCTGCATGATGAACGCCACCTGTCCAAAAAAACGTCAGGTGAAGTTGAAGGAAACGAAAAAAAATCTCCAATTAATTTGTCAATTTGTTGCATTCCTCAACTTTGCAAGTGCCCTTGAAGCCACATGATGGCTGACGCAGGTGAAGGGATCACGTCCATTTGAGCCAGAGCATGCATCCTCAAGCGGGTTTTGTTTGCGCTCTGCTTGAGACCAACGCGAACCTGCTAGCTCACAGTCGTCACTTGAGGTACATTCTGGAACAAAATTATAGCCACACCTCAAAATTTTCATGATGTGAAGTTGCTTTTCAACAAGCTCGAAATCTAACCATTCTATTCGAAAGATATGACGAGAAGCTCCCATCATGACGTACACAGCTCCATGGCTATATAAATTTTAAATTTTTTTGATATTTACGAAGAAAACATTGAAAAATGTTTGGTGCGTTTTTATAGCCGCACTGTACCTACATGTCGACTAATAGTCGATTTTTGCTCCTCTCTTCAAGATGACTCGAGCCATTCGTGTCGACATACTGTCAACAAGTGTCCGGCAGTACGCTAGCGTGATATGTTCCCATTCGATGGCAATTTGTCGCTTTAAGTCTTCAACGGTGCCGTATTGGTGACCATTTCAGCATGGGCCAAAAAGCCCCAAACGTTCTCAATTGGGTTGAGATCGGGGCTGGGGGCTGGCCAGGCCATAGTTGGAACGTCCTTGTCACGGAGGTCCCCATGGTGTGTCTTGAGACGTGAATTGATGCGTTGTCCTGCTGGAAGATCACCAGCCGGTCAGGATTCTTGCCCCGCACGAAGTCCAAAAACGGAAAAACGTGGGTTTTTAACGTCTTGCAATACTTGACGGAGTCTTGTGAGCCTTGAAGGAAGGCCAGTTCACTTTTCCCATCGTAGGAAAAAGCA